AGCCTCAATCATAACTTATCAGTTTTAATACTCAGGGTGACAATAAATGAACAGCAGGACATGATTGATTAATGTGTTCTGATTTCCCAGTTTCTAACAGCCCTACACTAACAATTGCTAAAAGTACAAACCCTAGCATTCAGTTTGTCTCTTCAGATGATCAGGGAAGGACTAAAAAGAGAAAGGCGTTAAGAAGCAGCTATTGTTAAAAAGGAGGGTAGATTTTACAACATTGAGGGCTAAGGAGACCAGTCAAGGCCACTGAGGAAACAAGCTTCACTTCTGCCTAGTCAACTACTCTGGGATGAAATGATGCAATACGTGGTGTTTGGAAAATGAAAATTTGAATATACAGGGAATAACTTAAATGATCCTATTAAAGGACACAGGTCTGACACATGAATATATATTTCCAGAATTAGGTCTACATTCAAAGTCCATCCATGACTCAGTTCATGATCTACTGACGCTGATGGAATTGTAGCCTAAATGAAGATGAAAGACTTAAAAGGCAAACTTCAACCACCAACCTACCTGAAAGAATTTATTTCCAGAGAAAGACAATTAAAAGGTGAAGGAAAAAACGTTAGGAACAATGCAATTAAATAGATGACTTGGACCCTCACATTTTTCCCAGTCATTAACCCAAAAATAGTGCCCCCTAGGAATTTTAAATTTGCTAAACCAATTATAATAGCATAAGCTAAGGGCTTAAAGATAATTATTAACTTAGTTCTCCATCAGGAAATATCCTGACAAGTCATCTATTCCAGCCCCTTGCTATTAGACAAGACCACTGCCATACTCTTCCTAGAGAGGAGAAACAGATTGCTCTCACAAGTCTCCAGGAGGGGGAATCTAGTTATCCTGATCTAAGAATTCTCATGCTAAATCAGCTTAACGTGTTCACAGTCCTCTCCTGCTTCTGTCTTTGTAGCGAGAGAACAATGATCTTCACATAGGAAGACTATTCTCAAGTTCACTGTCAGCCTCATTTTAGCCTTTCTTCCTCGCCCTTATTTTCTACTTCTCTAATCTTCATTAGCTTTATTGAAACCCTCCTTTATGTTTTTCACATTTCACCCTAATTGTGAAGTCCAAATCTGAGTTGTCCTCAAGGAAATTCCTTTAGCCTGCCTCAAGTGGTTATTATTCCTAATCTCTTAAATGAAATGTTAACAGGTCAAAGGAATTTAGGAACTCCTCGGTTTGGTCAATTCCACAAATATTTATCAAGTACTCACATGTGCAAGGCACTGTGCTAGGTTCTAGAAAAGAGAGACACAGGTATTTGTAATAACAGAAAAGTAAACATCCATTCCTATTATGCTGTGGGGCAGTTACCAAGTGAGATAGAGCTCTGGGTACTGACATGACCGGGCCTCCAAGACAGATTACTGAATGAAAAGGACAAACCACAGAGCAAAAGTAATAACAGCTAACACTTAACATAGGTCTTGGCATGTACACAAAAAATAAAGCTACTGCAACTGTCATATAATATCTAAATACATAAAAAATTGAAAGGTCTTAAAAAATGCACTCCAAATGAGCAAACACATGATCATGGTTACCCAAGAAACTGAGTAGGTATTAAGGGAAAATTAACCGTCTTCATGATGGTTGACCTTTTATTTTTGTGGCAAAGGGAATTTATGTGTTACTCAGTAATTGATAACTTTTTAATTTAGAAGATTAAGAAGGCCTGGCCCTCACTTCAAATTGTCCATAATTGTGTTAGGGTTGGGGAGAGCAGAGGGAAGTTGTTCAGTCTAATCCACAAAACTGTGCTGGGCAAAACAGTATCTGTGTCAGGTGAGGGGTATAGGCTGTCCACAGGGAAGGACAGAGCACACCCACCAGCAATGGCATCTCGGGGAAGATGGTGTTTGGTGTAAGCTTGGAAAGATGGGCAGGATGCAAGTGTCAGGATTTTGGAGCTGGGGGATATTTTAAGCTAAGAGGGCAGCTTGAGAAGAGGCTAAAAGGCGGGAAAGAGTAAGACAGGCAGTGTTTAATTTGACAAACAACAGGGAGCCTTAGAAGGTTTGTGAGCATGGGATTGATCTTATTAAGGATGTAGCTGAGGAATGAGTGTGAAGAGGACCTTAGACTGGACAGAGGCTGGTAATGGTCTGAGAAGGAGACCTGCCCAGGAGGGTAGCCATAGGAAGAGAGAAGAGAAAAGAGATGTCTCAGAAGTAAAAGTCATGGGAACTAGATAAGGGAAATGGCAGAATCAAAGAGGTTGCCAAAGCATGAAGCCAAAAGATCATCACTGAAAATTTTAATGTGAAATACTGCTCAGAAATATGTCTGGTAAATGGAGCAACTTTACCTAGGAAAGCAGGAAGAGAGGTTGTAATTCAAAACCACAACATGACATGAAGTTAGGAACCATCATTGTCGGGTGCTGAAAGAAGCACGCCCCTAGAACAATAATGACAGGCAGATTCTCCCTGCTCTGTTTGCCAAAGCACAGATACTCTAAGTGTGGTCCATGGACCAATGCTAGGCTATGAGCTGTTTGTTACCCCATGTGATGAGATAGGAATTGAAATCAAGAGAAAGAATTTAGAAAGTTTTATACCAATTTAACAAGAGTAATTTTCTGTTTATGGGGCAAATATTTCTTACGATTGTGCTTATATTTTTCTATGTCTTTTTTATTTCATTTACTTTTATACCAGTTTAATAGAGTAATTCTATGTTTATTGGATCTAGTAGTTCTTACAATTGCACTTATATTTTTGCATGGTTTTTTTTTTTTTTTTTTTTTTGCGGTACGCGGGCCTCTTACTGTTGTGGCCTCTCCCGTTGCGGAGCACAGGCTCCAAAAGTGCAGGCTCAGCGGCCATGGCTCACGGGCCCAGCTGCTCTGCGGCATGTGGGATCTTCCCGGACCGGGGCACGAACCCATGTCCCCTGCCTCAGCAGGCGGACTCTCAACCACTGCGCCACCAGGGAAGCCCTTGAATGGTTTTTATTTCACTTTTCTAGCAATTCATTTTTATTGTATTTTATAAAAGTTTCAACCCACAATGGACTGAAGGAAAAAAAACTGTCTTTCACCAAGAATAGTTTAAGTACCATTGTAGAGTATGCTTCATATTTAAAGATTTTAAAATACTTCTTATTTATTATTTCATTTTATCCTGAAAAATACCTTCAAATAAGTAGTGCAAGCCTGGTTCCCAGGCTTGTGTAAATGTGCAATTTTACACAGGGAAACCCAATTCTAGAGGAGTTTTATATATTTAAAAAAAACTTTATGGAGGCATGTTTGACATATAACATTATATTGGTTTCAGGAGTACAAAGTAATGATTCAATATTTGTATATATTGTGAAATGATCAGCACAATAAGTCTAGGTAACATCCATCACCCTACACCGTTTCCCTTCTAGAGGGGTTTTACAAATTATCCCCAAATCACACAAAGATGTTGGGGGTCGGGGGTGGAGAAGCATGTGTGGAAAGCCAGGTTTCTTATTCAAAGCCAAAGAGTCTCCAGTAGCTCTTACTGGTGCATGCTGAAATTGCTTTTTAGGACTCAGATTAGCAATTTTGCTTCCTTAAAACATGCAACATTTACTGCAGAGGTTCTCAGAAGCAAATTTAAGGTACCCTTAGATAGAGGCAAAAAGCTTCCAAATTTTTAATTCCTTTAACTCTAGGATTCAAATGAATCACAAATGATTCCAGCTAGACTGGCATCAACCAATATTTTTAATCAATTACTAATGATTATATATTAAGTGGGATATTGGAGAGTATCACACTTCCCCAAATATCCCTTTTCAGAAAATCTCCTTTTAGAGTTGATACTTATCTTAAAAGTTACCTTATCCTAAAATCAAATTATTTTTCTTATTTTTACTCTGAGCCCAACAAAGTTGGATGACACACCATCATCAAAGGCTGTGAACACATTGGTATTTCAAACAGCACCCATAATGATTGGTTCCTGAGAATACGGAATTGTAAAGTTCAAATTTTGCTTATTCTCAGAAATTGTGACAGAAAAAGAGATAGAGTTTGCTGGAGGATTCACCAACCTCCTAGATAATGAAAGATCTCCAGTAAAATAACATTCTGATGACCTAAGTGTAAATGAACCAGAGATATGTAGATTAAATTTCTTTTGAAATATACATGGTTTTTAAAAATTATGGGGAAAGTACTTGGCAAAATATACTAAAAGAATTTGCCAAACCCCAAATGTTTGATAGACAGCGGGAGAAATGAGGCCAATACAAAATCTCTGCCTGGTCATTCATCCTCTCCAGGTACTAAGTACAAAGGTGTCTTAGACTTCCATCAAGGCTAACAAGCAACTGGAACGTTCTTAAACTTAGTTAAATAGTCAATTACACAAAACCACTAACTTTTGAAAAACTGATTACTTCTCAGGGAAATCAGTCCTACATATGAGATTATCCTAGTGGTTAGCAACACAGAAACTCTAAGAAAAGCTTGACTTTTCAAGGACAATTGGCTCAAGGGATGAAAAACATAATCCCAACTTTGACCTGTCAATCCATCGAACGTTGGGAAAGGTGTGGAGGAAACCCACGTGCCGCATCAATTACGCTGTGCTTTGGTGCAAGCCCGCCAACATTCACGAAATAGACTAAGTGTTCAGCTTTATGAGATCCTTCGTACACAAAAGTATTTTACAGAGTAAACGGTTGGTTTGACTTATCCAACAGTGAATGTGACTCTGCTTTTTTTTTTAAACGTGTGTACAACAAATTAATGTTTACAGCTTAATTATAGGAGTCTATTCCATGCTTCCTTGGTTTTTCCCTAAAAAACACATCTTCCCTAAAAGACACATCTTTAGTGATGCACAGGAAGCATTTGCATCTGCCCCTCAGGTAAAAGCTTCTTTCATAGAAATGGGCTAAGAACATTGAACATTTACAAGTGAAAGGGTTCTTGTTTGTTAGTGAAAATGTATGTATCCAGATACCATATTTGTGTGTTCTTCTCTTACCAAAATTGAAGCTTTGTGTAGGCACCATTCTTGTCTGCCACATTCACAGCTTCATTGTGGTTCCTAGCATAGCTCTAGACAGAAAGAAGGCACTCAATAATTATCTGTTTCATATTTATGAATGAATAAAGCAACCTCGGAATAACTGGCATCTATTTTTCTCTCAAACAGAGACTCACCTGTGACAGTGGACACATCTATTATTTGACTATGCACACTACCTTCTAACAGCCTTTCCTTTCACAGCTTTGAATTCATTCAGAATGAATCGTCTAAGATTTCCTGCCCAGCAAAGTCATTGGAATAGCCAGCGCCAACCCGGAAGAGCTTTGAGACTATTGGGAAGCAAATGGGACAGATGGCATTTTCATCCTTCCACCAGCTCCAGTGTTAACTGCCTTTTAAAAAGTGATTTTTGATAAGTAAAGCTCCCCAAGCCCGCAGGCACTCAAACATTGATCTGTAAATATTTAACAGTGATAAAGAGATACATGCATGTAAGTGAAATCATCCTGCAGATCTTTACAGAGCAAGGAGACTATCCACCCGACACTTAAAAACATTCCTCAGGTTTTCAGTGTTCTGCCATGCTTCCATGAGCCTCCTTGGGTCATTTACCTGCCTTAGTCAACCTTAAACAAATACCAGCTTGCCCTCTGGCCTCCAACTTGTTCTTCCAGAACCGTGCGGGATACCTGATTTGCTCACTGGCTTTAGAATTTACAAATGTGGATACTAAGCTTGACTTTCTAAATAGAAGAAAATCTTTCCAGTATTATCAGCAGCATTCTTCCATAAAGGTATAAACAGCAGTATGCCTTTTGTTCTTTATTTTGTCTTTACCTCTGTTTTACTAATTCAGTCCATTATTTAATCCATCTAGCTGCCTTCACAGAGGAATAACAACATTTTTACTTGCTTAGATTTGATTAGGAAAGAAGCAAATGCCCCTTCCACAGAGTCAAGCCCGGTAATGTTGATTTTTACAGGAAGAACTTGACTAGTGTCACTCAGCATCACAGCAGTGGCATCACTTCAATCAAAGGCTGTGTCTACACTGCCCCAAAAGACTCAGCTGCCCATTCACTCAATTCAGACAACCAATCAACCAAGTCAAATAAACAGTCAGCGAAATTGGTTATTTGACTAAGTTGAATCATTGTTTGATTAAATGGATTATTTCAGTTCAGTCGTCCTAGGGGCCCTGTGTTGTCTGCCTGTACAGCCCTACAGTGGAACGAATGCTCACCACCGTAGACACAGAGAAATAGGACTGTCTGGCAGAAGGTAATTGGCTGCAGGATTGCGGAAGCACAGTGCCTGAATTGTCATGGAACAAACTTCCAAAACAGTAACTTCACTCTCCATGTCCTCCACCCACTCCAAGAGCTGTGATATAGTGGTTAAGGGTACGGACTTTGGAAACAAGACTACCTGGGATGAAATCGCAGCTCTGTCACTTACCATCTTTGTGACCTAGAGTGAGCTACTTAACTGCTCTCTGTCACCAGTCCAAAATTTGGACATAATACTACCCATCTTAAGGGGTGGCTTGTTTGGTGGAGTAATGGATGAATACATGTAAAGCACCTAGTAATCACTCAAAGAATATTTGCCATCATTATTTTGTTACTACGACTTAACAGAAAGACACTTCAGATAGGAGCCTTCATGGTACGACCAGAAGTTCCCAGTGCCCCAGATGCTTTTAAATTTGAAATAATATATATCCCAGCAAAGACATTTTCATTTGTCAACATATATTTTATTTTTCCAGAGCTCTCCAAATAGTCACAATTTATACTAGATATAACATCAAAAGGAAGGTTATCTGGAATTATCCTATCGAAAATTCCATATTGGCTCTAAAATGACCAGACTTCTTGTACTGATTAAAACATGTTACCTCCTAGGGAGATGGACAATGTAAGAGAAATAAATTCTGTGTGGAGGACAAGGGACTGTGGTCTGCCCGGTGCAGAGGCAGCTTCATGAAGGTCAACCTGGGCAGTTTCACGGGCCTCACACTTACATGGTTTTATGCTCTGTTGTCGTCTTCTTGAAATTCTTAATAACTTTTGAACAAAGGGCCCCGAGTTTTCATTTTTCCATGGGCCCTGTAAAGCAAAGCCTGGGTGTGACCTATTACCAGTAGCTAAGATCCTAGGGTAAGGCACGTTCCACAGACTGGAGCCTTTCTGTTAGAAGATTTTAATAAAATGTTGATTAGCTCAGCTGGCATGATACTTGTAACTGAAACAGAAGTTTTCCTGTGCTTATGGTCCATGAAGGAGTTGCCTCAGAAGGCAGCAGCTGCCTCAGAATACAGACTCACAGGACGGGCCACAGGCCGGTTCCACTTAGCACCTCCCTCGATCTCATAGGTCAGGGGGATATGATGAGCAAGGGAGATTCGGAGCTGTTTCCCTCATCCGTGATTCCACTGATGTCGGCTCATTAGTCAAAAACATATTTTGAATAATCTTAAGAGCCTAAAAGTATCTTGATTCCAAACACTGAAATAAGGATTTGGAGTCTTCTGTTCTCCGTCCCAGCCTTCTTTAGTTCACGTTTCATTCTTAAGCCCTTGACATGGTCTCTATTGTTTTTCTACAGCAGGAGATAAAAACCACTATTTTACTTGTTTGATTTTTACTGTGTGATTAGTCTAGGCATGATGGAGAGAAAAGCACGTGAAGCATTATTTTATTTGAAAGCCAGAAGCACATAATGTTTATTAATAAAGAGCCTGGTTTACATAGATTTTATTATTATTGAGCGTAAAATGGTTTATATTATAGGCAAGGGTGAAATTACTAACTAATTAGCCTGTGAAGATCGTGTTTAATGGAATATATAAATCTAGGGTGTTGCTTTTTTTGTAAACCTTAAGGGTCTTATTCATTAAACATGTACATATGCAGCCTTTATGCTGAAACAGGGGATTGTCATTATAATTCAAGGTCAAATGATTCAATCTGTGTTTCTCAAAGTCCAAAAATCTCAGAGCTTTAAATTCCTTAACTCTTATGGAAATTGGTTTCAACACACAGCTGCCTTAGTGTACACATTGAGTTCAACTATAAATGATGGCAACTGAGAAAAGCAAAAGTGAAGAATTGAAGGGCTAAATTCTCTGTCTGTCTGTCTGTCTGTCTCTCTCTCTCTGGATACTGTAGCTTAAAACCCACTTAACTCTTCCAAAGGAACTTTGTTTCTATTAATTTAGAGGATTGCACAGTCTTTGTAAACACACCCTTCTCAACGGGTTTGCATGGCAGAAATAGAGACACAGATGTAGAGAACAAATGTATGGACACCAAGCGGGGAAAGCCGTGGGGGCGTGGTGGTGGTGGGATGAATTGGGAGACAGGGATTGACATGTATACACTGATGTGTATAGAATGGATAACTAATATAAAAAAATAAAATTCAAAATTTTATAAAAAATTTTGCTGTATAAAAAATAAAATTCAAGCAACAACAACAAAAACACACCATTCTCATATATCTCAGTTAACTTTTGTAATAGCACCATAAAATGTGTCAGGCATTGCAATAAACTATCAGTCACAGGAAGCACAAATTGTATGAGAAAATTACTAGAAGCCATGTCTTAGAAGGTAGAAAAAAGCAAAATTCTTCAAGACCTTGGAAAAATAATCCTTAACGTTTCCTTAAAATGTGTGTTTCTTCTTTAAATAAAAATAGAGACTATGTGTTTTAAGTAAGGTATCGGGATTTGAAGCAGTGTGGCTACTTTAACCCTTTGACTTCACCCACCTTCTTCAACGCTAGTTCCTCAAGGCCACTAGAGAGCAGATGAGCTTCCCTCTTTACCTACCCCCTACCACTTCGGAGTCGCAGAGTTATCAGGGGCTAAAGCAGGGAGAGGCAGACATATGCATGCTGCCAGTTTTTACTTTCAGAAGAGGTTTTATGGGCAAGACTTTTATTGGGTTTGTCATATATTATATAATTTGTTGAAAGTTGACTTGCAACTATCCTGATTCTAGTCCTTTCGTTCAAAATCCAAGTTACCGCAGGTGATCGATTCACTTCTGCTCTGAGAAACTAGTATATGCTTCTTTGCAAGAATAAAGAGGCCTCAGCTGAGGGCTTGGACTGGCTGAACGGTAGCAAGTTGTTTCGTTTGTCTCTTGCTTATTTGAACAGCCTCGGGGTGACTACAATAAACAAAATCAAGCCCAAACAGAAAACCCAGTTTAGCTACCACGGTAATACTAGAATGATTTTCAGTTACTCTGGGACCATCTCAACAACTCCAAATGATGAAAATATTATTCACAATGGATAAGGCTGCATGTTGTCATAAAGGCTTTGACGTTCCGTTTTATGGAAGTGCTTTTGTTTTAATCTCAGAACTCAGAATGAATCTAGACCTACCAAACCATAAGATTTGTATTTAGGAAATTTGTGTTTAGGAAGAACCTCGAATGTTTGCTCTGGAGGGCGTGGAATTCTTGGACACGAGGGTTTGAGGGCTCTGAGGGCTGGGCTGGCCATGAACACATCATTTAAAGATGAACACTGCCCCCTGCTGGGGAGAGACCACATTACCTCCCGAAGGTACGTCTGAGGGTGGAAAAACCACTGCTATATAAGAGGGAAATGCATTTTGATTCTTTCACTTTTTTTTTTCACTTCTTAGCTTGACAGCTAAGTTCAGAAATATTATAACTGCCAAGCATCACTATTGCATTTCAAGACAACTTGGTTTATTTTATTATTCTCAGCCCATTATTATGACCTACCGCCCCTGGCAGAAATCCATCTAAATGAAAAGATAAGAGAAACAAAGGCAGCCACTGTGGTGACTGGGGGGCTTTTGAGATGGAACAGGGCATGGAAAAGAGAAAACTCTGTAAAAGGTTTTGATAGTTTATAATTCGACCATAGCCAGTCACAACATCAAACGTTAGAGAGAGAACTCGAGCTTACAGTGCTCGGGGAGCTTGTAAAAGCATCTGAATCATCTGATTTTCTGTCCATACCTTTTCCCCCTAAACTGATCACCACGACAGAGCTGCCCAGAGAAGGTCATGGAGACCAGGGCTGGGGACCCAGACCCCTTCTTCTAGCCTCAAGAAGGGGTTAGAGCACTACAAAGACACTCCAAGGTGTGCCCTCACCCCAACTTCCTTCCTGCCTCCTAGGGTGAACTGCAGTTAAGGTGAACTCCAAGAGCAAGGGCTCTTTTCATGAGGAGAATTTGTGGGCAGGTTGCTGAGGGAACCCCTGGAAGCACAGGTCAGATTCAGTTACTGGTGCCCACTGTGCACCATCTTCCTACAGTGTTTACTAATTATTCACATAGATTGTCCT